AGACCTACAGTACCGACGCGAGGGACGGGGGGACGGGGGCGGGGGGGGTTGCATGTTGAAGACCTAATTGCTTTAACAAATAATTATCATTTGGAAACAGGAGGGACAACACATCAATACACCAAACCATCTGTCATAGATAGGAAACACAAAAGATCACTCACTTTACAGGGAAGGGACAACATGTAAATGCAACAAACCATCTCTGATTGTTAATGGAAGGGAAACGCAAAGGTGATCCCAGCTTTCTTCTTTTGCCAAAGTAGAATGCACTACGCAGCACATAGACAATGATGCTGAAATTCAATGTATCTACCTCCAACAGTTCACTGATTAGAGGACTAAATTCTGAACGGCTTTCCATGTATTCAGTAGATTATTCCATTGTTTTCCAAGAAAAGGTTAGTACATAAAGGCTTAAACTTTTCATGACCTTTTCCCTTTTTGAGACGAGTAGCTAAAAAAGCACTCTTCCAGCCTGACAAAGACAAGATACTGAAAGCTTTTGCATGCGAAAATGTAGGCCTATTCAAATATTTAACTTGAAACATGTTCAGTAAACAAATTATTATTATTTATGGAAAAAGTCAAGCCCTTGCAATAAATCATAAGTCAACCAAATGTTACATTTATGTCTGGCCAACTATTTTTGGCGAGCGGTGAATTTATTGCAGTCAAGAGGCGCAACAAGTGCACCACACTGTTTAAATCAAATTCAGACACATTTAGAGATTTTCAGAAGAGTATTAAACATCTATAAATAGGTGCACTTCGTATTTCAAAATCAAGTCATCAGTAGAAAACATTGTTTGCATATTTACTGGTATTATCAAAGCACTTGCAAGAAATAAAGCTTAGTTCTCTCACTGCATTTTTCAGAGACTTGTTGAATTTATGGCTCCACCTTTTGTTTCTTTTTTTTTTTTTTTTTGTGCATTAACTGTCAGTGTTTTATCAACAGTTTTGTTTCTGGTAACGGTTGGATTTTCTTCACAGCAACTTTGTGACTGTCAAATTTTTGTCACCATTTTGCTTGGTGAGTACCGGACTTCAACTTTCACTACTACTTTCTTTCTTCACTTCTCTGAGGTGACTATTCACTGTAGCATGTACTAACCTGACCACCATTTTAATGGTGTTTTTTTCCTACGTGTACCTTAATTTTCTTGTTTAGAATGATAATGTTAGAAAATTGTAAATATGGTAAGAATCCATTACTTGAGAATATGGAAAGATTTAGATAATTGTGTAATGAGGTATAGGAATTACTTTTGAAAAAGATGAGGAATAGGAATCACTTTATTTTCCTTTATCTGAATACTAGTAAACACTACTCAAATCCAATAACAATCAAGCAAACTTTTTCCAATATCTCTTCTTCTTTTTTCAAATCATTCTTCACATGGTATCAGGGCTAGGGTGTTAGCCCCTCCTCTGGATTGCTTACAGTTCCCCTTTTTGATTCCTTCTATATACGTCCAAAAAAATCAAAATCAAAATTAGGGCAAAACCACATAGGCCAGAACCTAGGGTTTCAATTAGCCACTCCCAACTCCCCCACCACTAAAAACCTACTCCAAACGATCTGGACCAAATCATCCGCTTGTTAACAATCTGGACCAAGTCCACCTAGTGACTTACTGCTTACTCCAACAACATTCCTGCTTTGGTCGAGCAATCAACGATGTACTTGATCTTCCTATAGCTCCTCGAGAGGCACTCGGACTGCTTGCAACCTTCCTCCAGTTTATAATTTCTTAAGTTATCACCATTTGTCACCCTTATAGCATGCCTTTGTTACAAGTTCATCCATTGTCAAAATACCTAAGACTGGCAGATACAATGGCTCATCCAGGTTAGCATCACACTGTAATTCATGATTATTGTACTTGGGAGATAAGTAATTTTACAAAATGGTAAAACAACTATAGGATGTCGATGGGTATTTATTGTAAGTGTAGGTATTGATGGGAAGGTTGATCGCCTAAAAGCTAGATTGGTGGTCAAGGGATATATTCAGATTTTGTAAATCCCTCACGCTTTATATTTCCTTTCAAATGTATGTTCTTAGATATCTTAGTTCTGGAACTGAGTAAATAAAAAGGTTCCTCAAACCTGAAATCATGATGCTTCTCATTCTTTGCATTTATGTCTAGCCAACTATCTTAAAAGTATGGCTAATGGTGCAATTACCGTAATCAAGTGGTGCAATAAATGCACCACTTTTTATTTTTTTATTTTTTTGATAACCGAGAAATTCCCAAGGCCAGTGGCGCGCAGTTCGAAACTCGGTAGATGATGGGCCTACCTTCTCCCCTTCTCTACTTAAATACTAGGCTTTTTTCTGCGGCAGTGTTCGAACCCGTGACGTCCATCTAATCCACAAATCACTTGTTGGGCTCTTACCATGCATAAATGCACCACTTTTTAAAGATCACATTCACACTCATGTAGGGATTTCCATCCGTGTGTTTCACACCTAAAAATAGGTGTACTTTATTCCAAAATAAAATCATCAATAGAGAACATTTCCTTCTTTTATTATCTCAAGGCCCGCCTCCTATTAGGATAATATGACATTCGTAGTTCATTGGATCCAAGTGTAAAGATCACTTCCTTAAATGCAATTTTAAAAATCTCGTCTCTCACACCAAAATTCTAAAAAGGTTCGAACATACTCTTTCTTCCCCACCTTCCTCTCCCCCCCACCCCTCCAAACCCCAATTGCTTTTTATTTCCTTTCTAATGTATGTTCTTAGATATCTCAACTCTGGAACTGAGTACATAAAAGGTTCCTCAAACCTGAATTGGTGGTGCTGGTCACCTGCATTTACAGTAATCTGATTGTCTACTGAAATAAACACAGTGCAATTTCGAAAAGAAACAGTATAATGCTTTCTTTGCATTTATAGTGTTCTGATAGTCTAACTGAGGTAAACATCCCGCAATTTGCCAAAAGAAAAAGAACAGTATAAAGCTTAGTGGAAAAGGCTGTGCTCCCTATCTTGTTCGTAAATACAAAATCATAACTGATAAGATTGTAAATGAGTCATACAATGTCAAAACCTTACATGTGAAGTTCTGATCTTCATCTCCAGTTGATCGTGTAAGTGCTGCAAAAGATTAAGGAGAGCAAAGCTGGATCAGATGTGGTACCCTGGAAGGAAGACTACAGTGCACCAAGTACAATACTCATTAATGCTATAGCCTATAAGACTATATTCAAAGTGAAAGGAAAGGGAGAAGTTTGTCTAATTTAGTCTAACAATAAAATAATGATCCTCTAAATATTGACTAGAAAGGAATGGACACAGGATTCATAAAGCTTTCCTCAACGTCTAATTATGATGATCCTCTGAATATTGATAATAGCATACAGGATACAAAGGATTTATAAAGCTTTTCTCAACTAGTTGGGATTAAGGCATAGTTGAATGATTGATTCATTTGTTGATTTTGCAACCACCAGATACCTCTATAGTATTTCTTTTTTCTTTTTTATATGACGATGGTGTCCGAGCCAGCTTGTGCGCACCTCTATAGTATAACAAGCTCATTTAGGCAGGAAAAAGTTTTATTAACATTAAACTCTGAATCAGGCAGAATTTAACAGCAAAGAAGCAAAAAGATTTCCGATCATACAAGTCTAGTTTTCCTCACAACACCGAAAAGCAAAACTTGAGAATAACAGCATTCATTCAGGCCTTCAGATTAGTCTGGCATAAGAACTCCAATAACGATCCCATCAACATCCCCATGGCAGTATTATTAGCATGCCAAGCATGATATACAACAAAAGAATGATGATGGAAGTTTTAAGGTATGCTTTTGGAATTAGATATGTTGTAGTGTTTATTGCCACCTGTTAAATGAATTTCTCCGGATTAGAAATATGACAACATTTTTGTGGGCAGTAGTCTTGCCAAAGCAATTTTTGACCGTCCAGAGCAATATGTCCGATACAAGTATTGTACCATGTGCCTTACATTTCTACTTTAGTCAGGCCAGATGAAAATAGTTCCAGCATCTCAAATAACCAACTTTGCAAAACTAGCACTTTAATATATTTTGCCTATCACGATACAGAAGAGCAATTAAATTGACATTGTTAAAACTTGTCAAAGAGAAATAATATGTAGCAATTAGATATCTTTTCTTCAACATATAGCATTTAATTTAATGTCTAGTGGCTGGTCAAGATGCTCAATGTGAATATAATCCATGTGAGAATAACAGAGAAGACATTAAGCAAGGGTCCATATTAAAGATTTGAACAAGCTTTTTAACGAACAAAGAAAAGAAGAAGAAGAAGAAGAAAATCATAAGAAACTACAGATCCACATAATCTGCACGTCAATGATGAGTTTGAAGCACTAATACATGAAAAGCATGCTGGATCTTTTAACTCCTCCGAGATTATTAAATACCTCAAGGACTGTAAACAAATAGATCGAGAGAGACACATAAAATACTTTCTTATTAAAAAACTACTTTACTCCTATGTGATCAGTACCTTCACATTGTTGGTCAGACTAGAGGCATTAGCCACACGAGGAAAGATGCCATATTCAGCCAATAATCCAAGCATGGATGACATAAAAATATATCTGTCATTCTCTGTATCCTGAAAAAAAAAGAATTAAGTCTTTCAATAAACAAAATCCTAGAGAGAAATGCAGATAGAGGATAAAACAACAAAGAACTACTATGCCTCAATTCCAAGCTAGTTAATTTAGCAGTATATACAGTTCTTAAATATCTTTATCAAAGAAGAAACCAATATTCTGCAGTTAAATCAAGAACAACAAGTACAAAAAAAAATTTAAAAGACTGAGGCTTATACACCCAAAAAAGTGCCAGGTATCCACAGTCAACTCTAGTGCTTACCTTTAACTCATTGACCAATCTTAAATTTTCTTCAAGATCACCTTTCCTGCGGGCCAGTTCGTTCGAGGCAGACATTATAGCTTCACTTTGCTTCTCATCTAGCGCCTACAAGTGCAAAATAACAACACTACAAGAATGTATAGAACTAAAAGTTTAAACAAGTAAATTCAGTCAGACAAGAAAGACAAACCATGCGTAGTTCAGAAAATTTCTTCTCAAGTCCATACTTCTCATTCAAGAGCTGCGATTCCTAATAACATGGTAACAATGCAATGTGCTTAAGGTACAAGTTGAACAATAGAGTGTATTATCTCTTAAGCGAAAAGAAAATGAGCAAAGGCCAAAAAAATGGCACACCCGAACACTGGCAAGAGCAATCTGTTCCCGAAGATATAGAATTTCTTCCTGTTTTGCTTTAGCACGTGAATATAGCTCCTGATCACAGATTTATTCAGCATTAGCATAACATGGTCTCCCTTCATACTGTAAGTTATATTCTGTAAAAAAAGTGAAAAGCTACCATAGCTTCATGATCCTGAGAGTCGCTGATGGTGTCATTTCCCATCAAATTTTTTGGTAGAGAACTCATCCCAAAATCATGCCTGAAACTGAGATGAATTAACAGAAATACACACTCGACCTAAAATCTCCAACATAATCTAGCTCAATGATTACCTGCTTGCCAAATTAGAGCTTTGTCCCTGAACTCTTACATCTTTCTGCCCATTAATAGAGCTATTAGTGGGAAACATGTTAGCCAACTCCTCTCACGAGAGGAAGTCAAATGAAAAGTTGTCAATTAGGTCCAACATCATCGACCAGCTCCTTGCATATTACAAGCTATTCTGATTCACAAAATGCTGCAGCTCTTCCTCTTCCAAAAAGGACTAGCAACATATTAGCAAGCTATAAAAGTCAGCAATGAAGCGAAAGAATACATAACTGAGAAAACTGATAGGTTGAAAAGAAATAAGGCAAAAGCAGAAATCACTTTATCAATAGCAATTAGGACACGAATAATAAACAGATCAAGCAATCAGTAAGGCTTCGTCAAAGGGACTAAAAACAGTAACAGCCCGAGGAAGATTTTAAAGACAGCAATATATTTGTCAAAGTAAAGATTGAGCACAGCTGATCCACAGATGTTCCCAAGGATAAAAATGCAATCCTATTTTCCTAAAGAGAAAAAAGAGAAAGATTAATGTTTATTTTTATTTGCTTTATGGAACACTAGTGACAGCTCTTTCATACATGTTTCTTGTGACATTTGTATATTTAAGAATTAATTTCTTCTCCAACACCCACCAAAAGACCTTTCTTGGTACTCTATTATATGCTTTCTCCAAGTCAATGAACATCATTTGCAGAATTTTTTTCTTCTCGCGATAAATTTTCATCTATCTTCTTAGCAAAAATATAGCTCTCATTGTAGATCTACCAGGCATAAAACCAAACTGATTCTTATTCACTCTTGTAGTGTCGTTAAAAGTATGCTCTACCACTCTTTCCCAACGTTTCATCGTATGACCTATGTTGCTCGGGCTCTCCGAAAATGTGGCCGGATACGTGTCGGATCCTCCAAAAGTAGTGCATTTTTGAAGGATCCGACACGGGTGCGGCTACATTTTGGAGAGTCCACGCAACATAGCGTATGACTCATGTTTAATTCCACGACAGTTGGCAAAACTTTGAATATCTCCTTTGTTCTTATAAATTGAGATCAACGTGCTCCTTCTCCACTCGTCGAGCATCATACCACTCCTTAATAGCATTAAACAGCTTGGTAAACCATCCTATTCCAAGATATTTCCTAACCTCTATGAAGATACCATCTGGACTACAAGTTTTTGTAATCTTCATATTTTTCATGGCATCCTTTACCTCAGCTGACCTAATTCTATGAGTGTAACTAAAGTTTCTATCATGTACAGATGTATGCATTGAACAATTGATCAAAATAGGCTCTCCATATCTCATTGGTCTCACTATCTCCAGCCAGTACTTGTTTAGAATCGTCTTTAATACAATTCACCGGGTTTAAGTCCTTAGTCCTCTTCTATCTCAATCATACTAGTTTTGCTACTTCTTTCTCTCCTTCTCGTGTCCCTAGCTTTTGTTACAAGTCATCGAGGGTTTCTCCTCGAGTTTTATTGATCGTTTTCTTAGCTCTCTTATACTCTTCAAAGACTTCTCCATTTTCTGTTCCAGGTAATTGCCTATAACAGTCTCTTTTAGTTTTAATAAACTCATAGCACCTCCTCATTCCACCACCAGGATTCTTGTGGTCGAGGTCCTAAACCTTTAGACGCACCTCTATCACTTCACTTGCTACCTTTTTAATTGCAAACTATTATTTCCTTCCACAGGATATCTACCCCTCCCCCATCTAAATCTCATGCTCCTTCCTCTCATAATTTTTCTTAAACCGCTAACTGTCTAGCACCCTTTAATGCCCACCACCGAATTCTCGGTTGCTTACAACTATGCATATGAGCTATACTTACCAAATTCATGCTAATTGTTAAGAAAAAACTGAAGCTTTGATTATCACATCTTAGTAGTAACTTTTCTCACAGACCCTTTTGCTGCTTTAAATCAGAAAGAAAGAAAAAAAAATCTAAACTAAAGCAGAGAAAAAAACTCACTGAAGATTTAAGAAACTGGCACAAACTAAAAGAATTATTAGCAAAAGCATTGAAATGGGTATATACAAGTAAGCTCGACCAAAAATTCATGCAGAATTAACAACAAATAACAATCAAAATCCCCTTACATATGCATTAATAAATCACAACAAATTAAAAATTGCAATCTGGAAAGCTTACCTTTTCTTATGTAGAAGAATAAGTCGTCAAGAATAGAAAGGCTTTGAATCTCAGATCAATCACTTTAGGAAAAAAATATGAAGAAAAATTGGGAATGAAAGAGAGAAGAAGGTGCAAAACGCTTTAATTGTCCAAAAAGTCAAAATGTGGGTCGTTGGAAAAAAGTTTATCTATGCAACCTGAAAGAATAATTCAATTTAACTAATCCAAAATCACATGAAGAAATAGAGACCGTGTGAACATGAGACCCCCTTTTTCTTTTTCTTTTTTTGGATTTTGATGAGACCCACTTTTCATTTCTCTTACTATTTGACAAAAACAGAGTCTTGAAAATGGAATAATTAATGAAAAAACAAAAATCCAAAGAAAATAAAGGAAAATAATTATTTATTTTAAATTGGGATAAAAATATTTATAAAAGACTACTTACTTTCTGGAAAATATTTTTCTGTTGCTTGGTTGGAGAATAGAAAATAATTCTTTAAAAGTTTATTTTATTGAAGATTGATAAAAATATTAACAAGTTGAATAGGGTTCTTAAGGAATAATTGAGTATTTGATACTGATAATAATGTTAGTGTTGATTTGAGTAATAATATGAAGGGAAAATTGAGAATTGAGATAACATGGAGAAAAAATTAAATTCAATAATAATAAGTTACAACAACAACAACAACAACAACAAACCCAGTTTGATCCCAACAAATGGGGTCTGGGGAGGGTAGTCTGTACGCAGACCTTACCCCTACCTAATGCAGGTAGAGAGGCTGTTTCCAATAGATACTCGGCTCAGGAAGGGCAAGAAGAAGAAGAGGAAAGCAAGGGAGGAAGAAAGATGGAAGATAAAAGAAAAAGGGAGAGATAAAGGATAAGTGGTAGCAAATAATAGCAACATGGAATACAATACCTGAGACGAACAAAACCACATAACATAATAAAGATCTAAGAATATGAAGGGACATGCATACTACTAAGACTATCGGTGAACAACTATAAACTACCTATTAACCTTCTACCTTAATCCTCGACCTCCACACTCTCCTATCAAGGGTCATGTCCTCAGTGAGCTGAAGCAGCGCCATGTCCTGCCTACACCTCTCCCCAATACTTCTCAGGCCTACCTCGACCTCTTCTCAAACTCTCCATGGCCAACCTCTCACACCTCCTAACAGGAGCATCAATGCTTCTTCTCTTAACATGTCTGAACCATCTCAGTCTCGACTCCCGCATCTTGTCCTCCGCGGAGGCTACTCCCACTCTGTCCCGGATAGCTTCATTCCTAATCCTATCTCTCCTGGTACACTCATACATCCATCTCAACATCTTCATCTCTGCTACTCTCATCTTCTGCACGTGGGAGTTCTTGACTGGCCAACACTCAGTCTCATACAGCATAGCCGGTCGAACCACCACTCGATAAAACTTACCCTTAAGTCTTAGTGGCACATTCCTATCACACAAAATACCGGAAGCGAGCCTCAACTTCATCCATCCCGCTCAAATGCGATGTGCGACATCTTCGTCAATCTCCCCGTTACCCTGGATGATAGACCCGAGATACTTAAAACTCGCTCTCTTGGGGATAACTTGAGCATCAAGCTTAACTTCTACGTCTGCATCATGGGTCCCGTCACTGAACTTGCACTCCAAGTATTCTGTCTTGGTTCTACTCAGTTTGAAAGCTTTAGACTCCAAGGTCTGTCTCCAAACCTCCAACCTCGCGTCAACTCCGCTACACGTCTCGTCAATCAACACTATATCATCGGCAAATAGCATGCACCAAGGTACCTCCCCTTGGATGTGACGCGACAATACATCCATCGCCAAGGCAAATAAAAATGGGCTAAGAGCCGATGCCTGGTGCAACCCCATCACCACAGGAAAATGCTCCGAATCACTATCCCAAATCCTCACCCCGAGTCTTAGCATCATCATACATATCTTTAATCACACTAATGTACGCTACCGGAACACCGCTAACCTCCAAACACCTCCACAGGACCTCCCTCGGAACTTTATCGTATGCTTTCTCAAGGTCAATAAACACCATATGCAAATCCTTCTTCCTCTCCCTGTACTGCTCCACTAATCTCCTTACCAGATGAATCGCTTCCGTAGTCGAACTCCCCGGCATGAATCCAAACTGATTCTCGGAAATAGACACGCACCTCCTCACCCTGGCCTCCAGCACCCTCTCCCAAACCTTCATAGTGTGACTCAACAGCTTGATACCCCTATAATTATTGCAATTTTGGATATCACCCTTGTTCTTGTAAAGCGGAACCATCGTACTCCATCTCCATTCTTCGGGCATCTTCTTTGTCATAAAAATAACATTAACAGCCCAGTGAGCCACTCCAAACCTGCCCGCCCCGCGTTCTTCCAGAATTGCATCGGGATTTCGTCTGGCCCCGTCGCTCTGTCCCTGCACATCTTACGCATCGCCCCTTCCACCTCCTCTACCGTAATCCGCCTACAGTACCCAAAATCCCGCCGACTTTCGGAGTACTCCAACTCACCCGGCACAATGCGTCTATCCCCTCCTCATTCAACAGTTTATGGAAGTATGTCTGCTATCTTCTCCTAATAAGTGTCTCATCCTTCAACATTTTTTCATCCTCGTCCTTGATGCACTTGACCTGGAAATAGTAATTGTAAAGAAAATTGATTTATGCCCAAACATGAAGGAAGTCATTTTTCCCATTTTGGTGAAAATAAATTCTTTAAAACAGAATTTTCTCACAATGAAACGCAAAAGCCTTATTTTTGTAAAAATATATATTTGAGAATATATTTTCCAGCCCGCTAAAACACAAAAGAACAAAGTGATGGGGCTATAAATCAATGTTTATTTTGTTAAAAAAAAATAGTTTTTCATGCGATGTGCGGTATTCACGTTGAGGTTTGACTAAATTCATATTCATTCGGGAAGTTTCACATTAAAGAGTAAAGCGCTTCTAACAAAGGCGATTGCAATTTTAGATATACATTCTTTTTTTCATCCGATGTTTGATATTTATATTAGGATTTGATTAAATTGAATTCGTCCCCAAAAGCCCCACATTAAAGGGTGAAGTGCTTCCTAAAAAAGGTGAATTCTACCCAAAAGTAGAATGAGAAACCTCTAATTAAGGGAGAAAGACTACTTACCACTCATATAATATATAATATATCTTACATAGATGTGAAAGGTTTGTTTCGTTTCCTAATGGAAGTGGACATACCATTTGAGTTAGTAAAAGATAAGAAAATGGTATATAATGTGTTTTTTGGCTCTAGTGCTGCCACGCAGCCCCAAATGGTCAACTTGATATCTTTAGTGTCTCTCTTTCGTTTTTCTTTCAATGATTACTTTACAGTTTGACTTTTCTGTCAGCAAATTAAATGAACTTTTAACATTCAGAAGAGAGCAGGAAAATTCTTCAACACGTGTCCAAAAAAAAAAATTAAATTGCAATACGATCTTTTTGTAAATTTACCCGGGATAGAGTAGATTAATTTTTCATGTGTATATATTTCTTTATAAATATATCTTTTTTTCTAATTAGCTCTAAAATATTTCATATCATCAATTTCAAAGATAATTTTGTTATCCTAAAAAGAAAATTATTGTCTGATAATTGAACATGAACTTCACTAATTACTGAAGCCAAACATTTAGACTTGAAAATATATCAATAGAAACCTATCCACCACTAAGCTTTCTTTAGACTATAAAAGAGAAAAAACTAATTTTAATTTCATTAAACCCTTAAATAAAAAAATGGCATTTATCATGTCAAGGACGATTGACTTATATGCTCATATAGGTGTTTGTGGGTAGTAATTATTGCACTATTCCTTTTTTCTTTTCACGAAAATATTATTAAATTATGCACTCTTTAATTTTTTTGTAATTGATTCTGATTTTTTTTATAGTTAAGTATAAGAAGATTTGGAGCTATTCAATTCAACTGATAGAAATGAAATACAATACCACTCGATTAAATGATTCATCACAAATTGCATAGTTGTTTCCATTGAAAGATTTTTTTTTTTCGTATTAATGCTAGAGGTGCCTTGAAAGAGGGAGAAAAAAGAAACAGAAATTAATTCTTTTAAGAGAGATGTTACACTACGTTGTGATTCATTATATATATTTTTAACCATCTACTGACTTATAGCGATTTTTCGTACATCCTTATCCTATTTCATTAACACATAGTAACATCTTTTTAAGTTTTCTAAAATTGCAATAAAAAAATAAATCATTTCCTAACACTGTCTTATTCTCTCACATGAACTTTTCCTATATTCATTTATTTATTTCTATGATAGAAATATTCACCTTTTTCTTTTGCGAAAAATTATCAAAGTAAAAAGCTACCAAATATCAAACAACCATTAAAACCAATGGTAAGATAATTGTGCCTTTAGACGCAGAGGCGGATCTAAAATTTTAAGTTTATGGGTTCCTACCCAAATCTTAAGTTAATATACGATAATAACTGGATTAACGGACTGGGTTCCAAGCTAAATATTTTTATATATTTAATAAATTTTTTAGTACAAATACTGGATCTAGACAAAAGCTACTGGGTTCACGGGAACCCGTATCTAACTCACTGGATCCGCCCCTGTTTAGACGGAAGAACCGATCTTGTAAATCGACAAAATCATAGGTAAAAAAGTATTTAACTTTCTAATCATTCATATGAAACAACAACATAGAAGCACATTATTGCGTTTGTTTATGTATTTACCAGTACTCGTACATTTTGTGAGGCAATCCATTAATGATTATCAGTATTATTGGCATATAATTAGTACTTTCCATCATAAAAATACCTTAATTTAACAATTTAAAGGAAAAAAGAAAAAGGCAGAGACAATGTACAAGTATAAATTTGTATATTTAAAGAAGAAAAATATAAAAGAAAAAACTTTTTATACATGTAAACTAAAGGCATTAACATTAGATTCTACACTTAGTTATAAATGTTTGTTTCCCAATTAGGCAATGACATGGGCAATATGAATATCTAAAAAGTAAAACTAACATCCTAATAAGCATAAAGATCAAAATTTTAATTGGAAAAAAAAAAAAAGAGGAAAGAAATACAGAGGAAGGGGTAATAAGAATAAATCGTATATTTGTTAGTCTCAGATCTATCTTTGAGTGCATCTATTGGCACAAAAGAAAAGAAGATGAAAACAAAAAAATATCACAACCCATAAGCAAAATGTTAAAAATTCAAGAAGTGAAAAATTCAAA